TAGCCGGGCATGGTGGCACATGCCTGTAGTCCCAGCTACTCAGGAGGCTGAGGCAGAAGGATTGCTTGAGCCCAGAAGTTTGAGGTTGCTGTGAGCTAGGCTGATAACACGGCACTCACTCTAGCCCAGGCAACAAAGCAAGACTCTGTCTCAAAAAAAAAAAAAAAAAGAAAAGAAATAACAACACAGACATGTTATCTAGAACAAAATTTCTCAACACTGCATCACTTACGTTGTTGGTGTAGGACTGTGCGCTGTAGGACTGTAGGATGTTTAGCAGCATCCCTGGCCTCCACCCCTGCATGGCAGTAGGAACCACCCCACCTCCCCATCATAACAATTAAAAATTGCCAAATGTCCCCTGAGGGCAAAAGTACTCTCCATTGAGAACTGCTGACTTAAGGAAATGGAGGTAAACAGCAGAAAAACAGCTAGTAGAGCTGGAAGTGATTGCCTCTGAGCAGCAGAACCTGGAGGAAGGGGAGGGGGCAGAAAAGAGCTGGCTTTTCCTGAGAGCCTTTGAATGGCACATAGCTTTTTAACCGTATGCTTGCATTTCTTTGCTAGAAATAAAATTTATTTTTTTGAAAAAGACAACATTTGAGTGACTGTATTATTACATATGAAATAGGTATGCTTTCCTAACTCTTCTTTTGCTAAAGGTTTTTTTCTTCACAGCGTAACAGTGCATTAAGTGAGTTTTCCAGTTGTCTCAGAAACTTGGCTGAGCCCTGAAAGCTGAGGACAAAGCGTGCCTGTTGCCTACACATTCTAAAGGGGGATGCCAGACAATCTGTGCAAAACTATGAGTTAATGATGCCCAAACTCTCTCTTTAGTGCATCACTTCAACAAAATATACGAGGGAATGAGGAAATTGACACAAGATTTGGAATGAGAATTTTCCAGAGAGAAGCTAAAGCCCTATGCATTTCCCCTTCACCTAAAGTCAAGGAAGGAAGGACTGCAAGAGGGCTGCTCTGAGCATTAGACAGTGTCTCCTGGAGTTTGCAGAACTGCTGCCTGATTCTTATATATAAAAAAAAGTCTAGCTGCTCTTAAAAATTCTATTTAAAAAAAGTCTACAGGTAAAGGATGGTGTGAACTGTTCAGGACAACAGAATGAAGAGAGAGTTCTTCAGAGGGTGTGACCTGCACTTCCCAAGTTTCTTGGGGTAAAATGCCAAGCTTTCCCACTGAATAACTAGGTGCCCTGGAAGGTAACCAGGCTTGGCTCATTTGAAAGGTACCTGCCCAAGAAGACTGCCTAAAGGATGGGCACATGCCAGCAGAAAGATCCTAAAAGACTGTACCTTCTAGGCC